ATAGACTAGCCTCGATGCATGTGCACGGGGTCGAGGACGAGAGGATCGCATGCAGTGGACTCAATCTCGTACTCATTGAAGCAAAAATGGCCTACACCGATGGGAAGTGGACCCATAAGTTCAATCTAAAGGACACACGAAGGGGTATGGACTAGTCATGAACCAATTAAAATGTTTATGACCTGTAAATCAACTTTTAGAGTTAATGGGCCTAATTGAACCCCCCATAAGTTAATAGACATATGATGCATTTAACTCTTAATATAATAATACAATGCCAGTTTCATTGATTTGTGGTATGTTAAGGGGACATTTTCCCAAGCTTCATAAAGTATTAAAATAAGTAGTATCTTAATGTATGCATGTTACTTAGGACATAAGACCACCAGTGAAGCACCACGGTCATGCATCCCTAGCCATATGATTTTTTTTGCGCATAAATTTCTTAGAATTCAAACTCACGACCTCTTGCCTCATGAGATCCCTCCCCCTTCCCCTCCCCCTCCCCACCCACACCCACCATACTATCACTATGACCAACTGACCAAGTACATGATGCTATATTGTTGAATATTTTAGCCTCTAGATAGTCTCAAATAGAAAAAAAAAACTATAAAGTTTTAGATCTTGTTAAGCACTATAGTTTTGTATAAGGCGTGTCTCCAAGGTTGCTAAAAAGTTAAAAAATCTGAATTTCAAAATATGAGAACTCAAAACTTATATTTTAGCCCCTAAACGATCTCAAAAAAAATCATCAACTACAAAATTTTATACCTCATCGATCTCTACAACTTTTATATAAAGCACATCTTCATCCAACTTTATTTTTAAAAAATATTTCTTTTGGAACACCAATTTCTTGTATGGATTAGAAACACCAATCAGCTCAATGAAACAATTTCTAAAAGTGGTTGGTGTTTTTAACCCCTCTAAAAATATCCTAACATTTCTAGAGGTGTTTGGTAACACCGACCACCTCCTAAAAATAGGGGGCATTTTTAGGGATGATCGAAAACACCAATAGCTCATAGTAATCAAATTCAAGGCTTATTTGGAACCATTTGTAGTACTGGTTTTTTATGGAGCCCTTGTTGAAAAAAAGGAGACACCCCAAAAAATTGTTCTTGTAGTAATGCTTCATGTTTTATTCATAATGATAGATGTGGTTAACTTTTTGGAAAATGAAATAGATCTAATAATGGCTGTTACTAGTAATTATGATCACTACTGGAAACTTGAAATTCCCTGACAGTTTCGAATTTTTTGATAGTTATTGCATAAACCGTCAGGGAAAATACATTATTTTGACAGTTTCTGAAAAACACTCAGGGAAAATAATATTAACTTGACGGTTCCTGAAAAACACACAGGAAAATTAACTAATCGTCACAGAAATTCCGAATTAACCTGTGAGTGCACATAATCGCCAGGGAAATTCCTAATTCCCTAACGGTTTCATATTTGTTTTGGCGGTTATTGCATAAACCGTCAAGGTAATTAACATTACCTTGATGGTTTTTGAAAAACACACAGGAAAATACTGGAAAATCAAGAACATGAACAAAAGTTTTTCTCCTTTTAATCTGCAGTGAAATTTTGTAACCAGTCTTTCTCCCTCATGCTAACTCCAAATGATATGTTTCTTTTTCCTAGTTCTTTCTAAAATCATGATCTACCAATTAACAACATTTGTTTGGATATCAATTATTGTATCTTGTTTTTTACATATGTTTGTTTTCCATTCATGTATATAGAGAAATCACCTTGTGAAACAACCTTTAAAAAATGTCTTTCATACTCCAAACTTTTTTTACCATAAAATAGGCTCATAAGTTTCACTCTAGGCCATATATAGAGATGGATGAAAAAAATCATTTGTTTGCTATAGATAATTCATCCTTCATCTCCAAATTAACATAAAATAATTGTAATAATTATAAACTTTGTTAGAAAATTCTACAAACTTGCATGACAATATGTTTTTGATGCACAATATTCCAATAAAAAATTCAAAATGTTTTCAAAAAGAGAACACATTAACTTGAGTAAAATGTGGATTGAATTTTGTTAATATGGCTAGTACTATTTTTTTTACAAGAGCAATATAAGTTGAAAAATCTGTACTATCCTATTTTCAGTATTTGATTAATACCTTTTTTTTACCAATTACCCAACATTTCAAATCATGTTTTGATCAGCTAGGAATTATAATCCAAGTTGATTTGGTTAACTGAATTGCAAAACTATGTTTTATGACAACTTGCAAAGCCAGGCCGTAGTTCAGTTTTGCTTCTGTAATAGCCATCTAGCTTCTCTAGGATTTTCACCTGCAAAGCTAGGACGTAGTCTAGTAGTCATGCTTATGCACCCAATTCACAGTATGTATATTGTTTAAAAAATGATGATGCACATCACTGCATCAGACCACATAAACAGAAATTGTATTGTTATTTGCAATTCTTATGTATAATTATTAAAATAACTTCTATGTAAAGAAATAAGCACATAGTTTTTCCTTCCAAATAGAAATTGTATTGTCATTTGCTCATATGTGGTGTTCTTGATTTTGCAGCCACTTTCAGAAACTGTTGCACTTGTGGAGGACATTGCTGCTGAATATGTCACTGACCTGGTAAGTTTATTTTGTGTAGTTGTGTGAGAGTGCGGAGAAAATGACCCAGAACCCAGATCATTCATACATGTAGCCTGTAGCTGTAGATACATGTTTGCAATTTCTGTGCGAGATATAGGAGCCCTCTCGAATGCTACAGTTCACAAATTTTCTGCAGGAGTTTGTAGTGCACAACACCTGAGAGTGCTGCTTGTTTTTTTCTGAAAAGTAAATGTCACTGTGCATTGTCAGAATGTCATTGTGCTTTTTGTGATTTTGCTTTTGACTACTACTATTATTCTGCAGACCCTCTACAAAACATTAGTGTGGTAACTGAAAGCTGGAGCATCAATACCAGGGACATGTGGGGTTGCAGCGACAAGCGAGGGTGCCGCCGTTGCTTCGTCCAGTACTCTACTGGTAGTAAATGTTTAGATAGTACTCATGGTTGTGCAAGAGCTTGCCAAATATTTGGAGAAGTTGTTTTGGGTAGATGGGTGTCAAATGTTTGGATGTATTATGTATTTCGGTATGTTGATGCAAGATATCTTTGTGTGTATTGGATTCATGTTATATATAAAAACAATTGTGTATTGGATTCTGTGTAAATGATACTAAATGTATTTTCTAATTGTATAGAAAATGCTATTGCATTCATTGTATATTATTTTCGGGTGGGTTGTAATTTCCTTGGCGGTTTAACGCTGACAGGGAAAATGTTTTCTTGACTGTTGTAAGTCGACAGGGAAACATCGATACCGACAGAGAAAGTGCAATTTTTTGATGGTTACTCAACCGACAGGATAATTACCCTTTTATTCTGTCGGTTTCTTACCGTACAGTTAAACAATTTTCATGTCGGTGTGTACGATTTTCCTGTCGTTGCGCCACCGACAGAACATAACTTTTATCCCTGACGGTGTACAATTGGCCTGACGGTTTAGAACCGACAAGAAAATTAGAATTAATTTCCTTGACGGGGCACCGACAGACATTTTCCTATTTCCTTGACAGTTATTCCCTGGCGGTGCATCGTCAGGGAAATTGAATTCAAATTTTCGTGAAGGTATTTTCTATTTCCCTGACGGTAAGTGCACCGTCGGGGAATTTCAACTTTCTAGTAGTGGATTATAATATATGAAATCAATCTTTCTTCATTGCGAGAACTTTTAGATTTTTCTCCTAGTACCCTGCCCACCACCACCATCGTGCCATCCCAGTAGTGACCAAAAAAAAAATCCTTGGTGAAACCAAAACATCATTGTTAACATTGTAATGTTATATATAACACCACCGTCAATCGAAAGATATCTGGTCGGCTGAAGTCTGAGAAGCGTGACAAAATTTTGGTCAAAGCCATGACAGTGTCAGCTGCTTTAGATTTCCGTTTGTACGTACCTCATCGTCATTATTAGAACCACACTAGAACGCTTGCAGTTGCGAGATCGTTTTCACGCAATTGATGATGACAAAAGGTTCCGTGTGTTAGATTCAGGGGAGCATTTGTACGACGCAGGTGATGTGGGTGTAGTAGGTACGGGATGGAATATGGGCCTTTCGCCCCTTTCGTACGGGCCTCAGTTGGGACGTCTCTGGTGCTGCCCATGTGCCAATCACACTACGATGGACTTGGTATTACACCTGCAGCATGTAAGGTGAATTTTGCAGTCAATTTCCCAGTCGATGGTCAAGATTCTCCATAGTCGTCTCATCTTTGCCGCCGAGCTATCGGAAAGATCTATCTGTCTATCTACTGCACCCAAAAATCTATCTATAGTTTATATGCCTGGAGCATCAATGTACACGTGTGACGAATGAATCGTCAGTGATCACCCACTGCCACTGGCTGCGTCCTGTCCTCTCAACCCTATCAATTAGGCGCACAGGAATTCACCCTGACAGATCAGTAATGCCCACCAAGCGCGTGTTCAGTTCCTCCCCAAAATCCCAAAAAATGCTACAGTACCTGTCATATCGAATGTTTGCGGCCTATGTATGGAGCATTAAATATAGACAAAAAAAAAACTAATTGCACAGTTAGGTGGGAAATTACGAGACGAACGTTTTGAGCCTAATTAGTCCATGTTTGAACACTAATTGCCAAATAAAAACGAACATGCTACAGTAGTCTCAAATTCTAAATTCGTGGAACTAAACAACGGCGCAAATAGTTTCGCATGGCGGCAGCTTATTATTCTGGCATTTCCATGCATGAACAGCCACTCCGATCCATCACTACCCGGTGGCGCTGGCGCCTACTATATAAGAGCGCCGTGATCACCCGCGAATCCGCACTGCACTTGCACCACCGGAGCGAAGCTAGCTACCTTCTCCTCTCATCATCATCCGCGCATTATTACCACATTGTGAGCGCTTCGATCGATCAGCCATGGAGAACCACCACCAGCACCACCTGCAGCAGCAGCAGCCGGCCGCTCCGGCGGCCGCCGCCGCGGCTGCGAGCTCCCCGCAGTACCGAGGCGTGAGGCGGCGGAAGTGGGGCAAGTGGGTGTCGGAGATCCGTCAGCCGGGCACCAAGGTCCGCGTCTGGCTCGGCAGCTTCGACTCCGCGGAGGCCGCGGCCGTGGCGCACGACGTGGCGGCGCTGTGCCTGCGCGGCCCGCGGGACGCGCAGCTCAACTTCCCGGGCTCCGCGGGGTGGCTGCCCCGCCCGGCCAGCACCGACCCAGCCGACATCCGCGCCGCCGCGGCTGAGGCGGCCGAGCGCGTGCGCCGTGAGCCGGCGCTTGTCGGTACTGCCGCCGCCGCCGAGCCCGGCAGCGTCCCTGCCAGTGCCAGCCGCCTTGACCTGGCGGTGGGCGACGAGTTTGACGACGACCTTGCGTCGCCCAGGCTGTGGACCGAGATGGCAGAGGCCATGCTGCTGGACCCACCCAAGTGGAGCCCGGATGGCAGCGACGGTTCCGAGGGCTCTGGATCCCAGCATTGGCCCCAGGGGTCCCTGTGGGATGCATGCTAGAGAGCCTGCGTGCCAAGTCAGCTCTCGCTGTGCTATAGTGCTATACCATATATACCCCTGCTAATGCCCTGATGTGTCCACGTGGCGCCTCCTTCGCTGCTATTCTTTTTTATGATCTCTTGAGGTCTATATGGTAATATTGTTATGGATGTTGTCTGTTTCAGAACCAGAATGTTATAAGTGAATAAATTCTCAGGGTCAGACGAGATGGCGGACATGGCCAAAAAAGCTAAGGATCAATCAGTCAGCAAAATCATGTTCTCCCCCATACATAAAATATGTGGTACTGTACGTGTAGCATAAATTTTCCATTTGCTTTGATGTATTTCAGATTTTACTCTTTTTCTTTGTGCTTCCAACTTATGAAGATCGAGGATTAATCATGTCTAATACTGCAAGGTGCATATATGTATGGCATTGCTTTCTCAAAAGGATCAAGATGCTTAAGAGGAAGGTGAATTGGGCTAATTCTAAATTTCTTACAATAATTAAGCCCTACACTTAGCTCATTTCACCCTCTAGTGCCTAAAAGTATTTTTATTATTCTACCGCACAAAAGTTTTGCACCTTAGGTTCTAATCCTTCTGTAGCATGGTAATTCTAAGAATGTAAAGACATGAATTGAATTGCTCAAATGTAAATGCTCAAAGTAAAGGAAGGGAGAGGAAGACGGCGATGTTTTTTCGAGGTATCGGAGAGTCGTCACTCCCCACTAGTCCTCGTTGGAGCACTCGCACAAGGGTGTAGCCCCCTAGATCCGCGCAAGGATCAAGTGCTCTCTATGGGCTGATTCTTCGACACTCCGTCGCGGTGAATCGCCCACAACCGCTCACACCATGACTTGGGTCGCCGCCGGATGATCACCAAGCTTCTAATCTCCACCGAGCCGTCTAGGTGATGGCGATCACCAAGAGTAACAAGCACGAACTCTCACTTGACTCAACCAACCTAATGAGAAGAGTGGATGCACACTTGCTACTCTCTATGCACTAATGAGATTCTTAATCTTTGATTAGCAAATCTCAACAACCCCACTAGGCTATTGCTCTCCCTTGCACTTCAAAGTGTTTTCTCAACTGAACAAATGGACAAAAGAGGGGAATTGAATGAGTAGGAGAAGTATATATACCCCCCACTTAAAAACATAACCGTTGGAGCCAATTTCCCACTGTCTGCGTACCATCGGACCGACAGATGCCTAGGCATCGGACCGAGGTGTTAGGGTCCGACCCTCATAGATCAAACAGTGTGTACACTATGTCAGAAAGAGCCATTGAAACCGCGCCTGCTACAGTAGGGTCCGACGCCCTACCGTCGACCCAGTCCGACGCTCAAAATCCCTCTCGGTGTAGTTTCTGTACACCGTCAGACCGTGATCTCTGTGGGTCCGACTCTTCCTTGTTCACCGCGGTCCGAAGGTTCCTGAATCTTGCCCTTGCATGAATAGTGTTCTAGTCTAGTCTGACGACGCCGCTTCTCAGGGTCTGACGACCCTTCTCCACTTCGCGTGCTCTGTGAATGCGCCATGTAGGCGTCGGACCGAGGTATGTTGGTCCGACAACCATGCCTCAACATGGTACGATGCCTACCAAACCCCTCCTTTCACTTCCAATTCAAAATCTTTGTGAACGGAGATTGTTCCACTTGATCTTTAGGCTGTCCCTGAGCTACCTAGTGCTAAGTTTGACAAGTGTGCACTACACCTAATACATTAGACTCACCTAGGTCAAGCTACTACTTCATAACCCCTTAATAGTAAGACCAAAGGGAAAACAATGTCCTAAACTGCTCTAAGTGTCACTCCAACGCCAAACGACACTTAGAACTAGTTTGTCCTTAACCTTGTCGTCCATCCTTTGAAAACTGAAACAATTTCCATCGATAGGGGCATGAATACCATTGATTGCCCAAACAATCGCCATTATCGTGACCTAACTCAAATTGCCTCTGCAAAACACACGTTAGTCATAATAATCTTATGTCGTCATTAATCACCGAAACCCACAGGGGCCTAGATGCTTTCAATCTCCTCCTTTTTGGTGATTGATGACAACATAACCTCGAGTATGTGTATAAGAGATGGGTGAGGTTTTCAACATGCTTGGTTCATATAAGCAATTTGACAATGAGAACAAAAGAGGTTAGCCATGCTTATACAAACCAAGCCAACAACATGTAGTCAAAAGATATGAATTAAGCATGAGTACGAAATATAAAGCTCATTTGAATCGGAGTATAACGTGGAAGCAAAGCAAATGAGCATAATCAAGTGACATGATATATATAACTCAAAGTAGAGAGCACACATGTCACATAATCCATCACATCATGCAAACACACATAATACAATGCTCCCCCTAAGTCTAACATACTCGCTCCCCCTCCCCCTTTGGCGTTAAGCACCTAAACCTAAGGGTCGGTCAGCTGGACGGTAGCAGATGAGTCAGGTGTGGAGACACGTGGGGTAAGCTCAAAATAGGTCGCATCATCATCTGACTCTGAACTCTGAGCTACCGAACCCTCTGGAGCGAACTCACTCTGGCCCTCATTAGCTGGAAGTGTAGGTGAAACGGTCTAGGTCTACCTGGTAGCTGGGTTGGCTGATTGAGACTCAGAAGCTAAGATGGTGGCCTAACCCTAGGGCTCAGAGGCTATCTCTATAGGAGCCACATCTGTCAGTGTCGCTGGGGCCTCAAGTATAGTAGTGACTATCGGAGGTGGCTGACTCACGGGCTGTGGCTACGGCTTTGACGAAGGAATTGTCTCTGTGACTATAGCGGCTAAGGTAGGTAGAGACGCTCTGAATTCTAGAGGTGTAGGCTTCCTTGTAAGCTCACTGAAGGTGGCACCCAAACTCTATGAAACTAGAGTGTCTATCACTAGTATGGCCTCTGACTGAGTAGGAGTGAAACCTGTGACAATTGGAGAGAAACTCTGAGCCTGTCTTGTCCTTGGAGAAGCAAACCACTAAGAGACTTGGACGGAGGGTGAGGTGAACTGTGCTGGTAGCTACTAAGTCTGACTCTGAAGTCCACTAGACTGTAAAGCTAGAGTCATTATAGGAGTTGTAGTCACTACTGGACCAAGCTTCTGTACTATAGGCTGATACGCAGGAGCACCAGTGAACTGAACGATGTGCTCCATGAAACCAAGTAACTGCTACTAAAGTGCCTACTGCTGCTGGAGCTGGTCCTATCATAGGTGCATCTGAGCGTTGGCAACTGCCTGTGCTTTTGCCTGGCGCTACTAAGCTCGCTGCATCCTATCGAGTATGGCAAGCAAAGCCGGATCTGTCTGCTGAGGTGGTGTTGAACTAGAGCTACCGGGCTCTCTATTGTGTGCCCATGGGGGCATGGGCAGAATTGGCTGGTAGTCCTCGTTTGAGCTGTCGGAGGAGTCATCCTGCTGAGCCTCTAGCTACTCAAGCTCAACCTCTGCAGCGGCCCTGATGGCCTCGTCCTGCTCAACCTCTGTCTCAGGAACCTCTGGTCTACGATGCTGCTGAGTTGGTGTCCTGCTCACATGTCAGCCATCTATCACTGAGGTCATCTAGTACACTAGAAACTCTGTGGGTGACCCGGTCAGCTCTCCTGCAAGTGCCTGATGACGTGACATAGCAATTAAGGAAGAGATCCAATGAGCATATGGAAGCTGCCAGTGATTCTTGATGCCCTCTACAATGGTGTCCTCTATCTCTAAAATAAGCAAGTCAACTATGTCGAACGGTGACTGAGACACCAAAGCTACAAGAAACCACTGCTGGAGGTTCATCAACCCTTCCTTGTATCCAGTCCTGAGTAGCAGGGTCCTCCTCATCACGTCGTTCAGGAGATGGCACATAGGTGTAAGCTGGCTAGGTGTGGCTCGAGAACCGTCTCCAAATGAAGGAATAAAGCAAGCGGCCACCTGTGCTATGTCAGGAATAAGTTCACCGTGAGCTTGCCTCGGGGGGTCTATCATGCCATAGCAGCTGGTGTGTAACCTAGTAGTGGACTCTGTAAGTCTCAGCCTCTCTAGGATCATGGCCCTATAACGTCTCCATGGGTCACCTCTGAAAATGAACTGAATGTACTCGTGGTCTAGCTATACCTAAAGTGTAGCATAGAACTCTCTAACCCAAACCTCGACGTATGACCCAGATCGTCCCAAAAGGTCTACCAAACCTGGCAAGTAAGTCAAATAGGGACGGATCTACTCACCACCTGCTCTGACAATATCCTCTAGTGGACAGACTCTGTGTGGATGAAAGACTGAACATTGCATAGCTCTCAAGAAGTCCTCGTGCAGTGGTGTATAGAACCCCTCAGAAGCTTGGAGATCTCTCTCACAAGGACACCACACCTCCAAGTCAACAAACCTGAGCTCACAAACTCTGTCTGCACTAATACCCCTCAAGTCATAGTGAACTAGTGGTGGGGGAGGGCTCTGCTACTACAACTACTCTCAAAATGCGGCCACCACATCTCGGACCCTTAGGCCTAGGAAGCGGCTGCACCTGAGTATGAGCATGTGTGGACCGATAAAGCTATGGTGTTGGTTGCTGCTCTGACTGCTCTTGCTCTGACTGAGGTGTAGGCTCCTCTACTGCCTGCTACTCTATCGCCTTAGTGCCTAGCTCTCGGCCCTCAAGGTGGAACTAGGCCTCACTAAGGTGAATACCACTACCTCTACCACCTCTCTTAGCACGCTCAGCTACGGCTGCTACTGCCGTGGCCCTCTCTGCCTCTATGTCATCACGCTTGCACTTCTTCTTTGCAAGCGTCTTCTTTGGCCCCTTCGCCTTTTCCTGCTCTATCAGACGAGGCGGACACCTCTCATCATCGCCGGGACCACCACCGGCGTTCTTGCAATGCACCCTAGCTGCCATTGTCAAAGGTCAACTGCCACTGATCATACAATAGGAATTCCCATTGTCTCTGAGAATCACTGCCACTGAGAGATCAACTATCACATCACTGCTCCCCCTAACTCACTGCCACTGACAAGAACTCCTCTGACAC